AAAGCTCGCCCGCCATCGCGAAATAATGTTAGCGCGCGAGAATGAAGCGGGGTAGGAAATACGGTATGCAACAAACTCGCACTAAGCTCGCATATGAAATCGCGGATTAAGTATGGGACAAACGATTGCTCGAATTAAAAACCAGTCGTGTTTTGTTTGTCGAATGATCATGTCGAATTATCGTTGTCTCAGCGAAATACAGGGCGTTTCAAAAGTGGAGTTTTAATCGCTCGGGAGACGATTAGAGACCCGAAAACAAAAAAAAAGAGTTGATAGAATGAAGATAGATCCGGAAATGCGTTGTTGTTGTGAGCTATCGCTATTTTTATATTGAAATTGGAAATTGCTTTTAAATCTTTTTGAATTTCTTTTGCTTTTTCGCTTTTGAATTTTTTTGTCAAAATTGAAAGAAGAAATGGCGATAACTCGAAAACAATTTCAGACCTATGTTCATATCAATTTTCTTTCTTATTTTTGAATTCCTATTCATCTCTCGAATGTAATACTTTGTATATCAGTTTTAAAGAATAACAATTATACGTTATAAAAAAACGCCATGTAATTTTATTGAAAAAGAAAAACAACTGCATTTTGCGGATGCATTGACGTACTTTTGAAAAGACTCGGCTCTCTCCGGAAAATAAAGCCGTGCAAAGTCTTTCCTCCTCGTAACTTTTTTTCCATTCTCTCTTTAAAAAGAAAGGAGCCTCTCCTCCGTTTCCAGAATCACTCGGGATAAATCAACCGCGTGATACCGGCGTGAAAATATTTTCCCCCGGTAATATAAATATTACATCTCGTTAGGTTGGCGTTAAGCGAGCTCGGCTAAGAAAGGACTTAAGCCGTCAGAATGGCAAGCCCGTAAAGAAAGCAGAAAAAGCTTCTTCGGTAGGACGAGGATGCTTTGTACGATCGCGACTTGTGGCACGGTAAAGCCACCCGAGTCGCTGGAAAAGGCAATTTGTACAGAGTACTTAAGTTACATATATTAGTCAGAACGTCGTATTTTTCGGAGTAACGACCAATTATGTCATGAAAAAAGTCTAAATGTCGCAGGTCGAATTATTCTTCATCTACAAATTTTGCGACCGAATCTTCAAAATTGAATTCTTTGAATTCTTTCTTAATAAAGACTCAAGAACTCTTACAATAATTACATTACCAATGAATTTCTAGTGAATTAAATTTTAAGTGCACTAAAAGAAAAATTAAATCAATTAAATTAATAAAAATTTTATACTCTATTATCAAAATATTATATATTACATATTAAATATCAAATATATTTTGTAGATTACATATAAAAATAAGAACTTGTTTTTCATGATCGCATCTCACATTCACGCATGTGTAAACATTTTACAATATTATTTCACTAAAAACGAAAAACCTCAAGGGACTTAAGAGTACCTCAACTAAATAAACAAGTTTATAATTCATAGAGCGAGTGTTTAGTATAACAGAGATATATATTTAATGTAAAATGTTTATTCGCTGTGATAAAAGATATCGCAAGATTAAAATGAGAAGTTTAGACCTTTCTTTTGCGAAAGTATCATCGGAATAAAATCTCTTCGATGCCTGGCAACAACACAATACTCGAGATTATTACTCGGTATTACTTGTGCGAATAGACAGATCCTCGGGGGTGAAAAGTAGTTTCAAAGCGTCTAGTCTAACAATGGAACGGAGAGGGGGGAGGGGGAGGCGAAGGGACGGAGAGGGGAAGAAAAACGACGGATATGAAAAGCGTCCCGGAAAATAAAGGGTAGATATGGTGGAAAGAGCACGCGGAAGACCCGTGGAATTCAATGCCAAGGTTGGCGTACGTACGAAGTTAAATCGATATTCAATATTCCACGTACGAACCGATAGTGACGTTTGTACGGAGAATTTAATCGCATTTTACAAATGATATATCTTCAATTTCACGGTTGGCATCTCGAAGAGAGTTAAAAAAAGAAGTTAACTTACGATCATGAGTTCACTTAGTCAAAGCTTACTCCTCGCAATTCTTGAAAATCATAAAAAGGAGATTAAAATATAAACTCTCGCAAACTTTTGAAATTAAAACAAACGAGAACGATTTGAGTTTATTTAAGTCCTCGGTCTTCTGAAAATTTATTACATGTACAAGTCGAGAGAAATCACTTAAATATATCAATATTTTCACATTTGATAAAAATAAAAATATTCAAATCTTAGAAGAATACGTTGTTATTGTTCAATTAATTTAGTCTTGTGATTTTTTTTCTAATTTAATAAATATATTATGCTTTGCAATTTCTTTATAGAAAACAAAAAAGATTTTTGAGGTTTATCGTAATGTTTTTTCAGATATAGATATGCGACATCAATTTGGATATATTTTTTTTAAAGTTATATTAAGGTATATTAGAGATATATATGAAAATATGAAAAATTAAGAAAAATTCCTTTTTTAATACATTCTTTTGAATTTATTGATATTTTTTACTTCTAGTGAAGAAATATTATAAACCTGCTTTTCGTTTGAGCTACTAATGCAATTCGTGCATGAGCTCAAGATACAATCGCGAGAAAACAATAGGTTTTTGTCACATGTGATTCTCGTTTTCCAGCTCGTTTCATGTAGTGAACATTTCATTTTCCGGGCACATACATATTTCCGGATTATATATCCTATATGGAATGTATTGCGTTGCTCGCGAGTATTTTGTGGCTTCGATTGATCTATCCAATTGGACAAAAAAAATCAATCGTGTGCATTGTTTCGAAAATGGCACCGATAGGTTTTATTTGATATATAGTTTGAATGAGAACGTAAATTTCGCCACAATCATCGCGCATTTTTCAGATCTCCTCGGAAATTTAATAGATATTTAAAATAACGTGAAATCTTAAACTGCTATTTAATTAAACGTTTAATAACTTAATCAGAAAATTTAATGATCATATTAATTTAATGGAGTTGATCAAGTGGAGTTAATAACAAAATCACTCTTTAGCAAACATTATCTCATTATGACTTAAATATTCATGATTGGACCTTTGACAATCTAAAAATTTTGTAGAAATATTTATATAAATATTTATTAAATTATATAAAATACTTATATTTATAATATAATATAAATATTTATTAAAAAATTTTAAAAACATTTTCTTTTCGAATTTTACAAAACATTATTTTATTTTAAACGTACACGCTACAATTTTAACATCTAAAATACATTCTTTAGAAGCAGTATTTCCAATCTCTCTTGCTCTAAAGATATTCCAAGATATCAATGTTATTCTTATTAATTTTTTTTTAATTATATACGATATTATATTAATTATATACGACATTATATTATATAATTATATACGATCCATCGCGTCTGAGAGGATTGCTTGCTCTAAAGATATTCCAAGATATCAGTTTTATTCTTAACGATCCATCGCGTCTGGGAGGATCGATCATATTGTATAATATGTTTGCATCGTTGGTCGTAAGAAAGATCGTTGCTCTTCGATTCCGGAAGTAACGATCAAATGCGGATTTTCCACTAGAGGCACGAGCACGTTCTTAAATCTTTCGCCCAAAGCGAGCTATTCGGCGAATACAGTGTACTCTTCATGCAAAATGTAGCCGAGGTTCGAAACAACAGCGGACAGGACGGTATGCGCCCGAACTTTCCCGATAGCGGGATAGAATTCGCAGATTGCATGCTAAAACTTTCAGGCGAGCAGAAACGAGCGGAGCGTGTTTCAGAAGGAAAAAAATAATCAGGTATGAAGGCACAATAATAAAATTGTATTCTTGTTATATCGGCGTTGTATGCCGATCGCGTTACCGTATATAGAACTCCATTGGCGGTGTAAATGAAGAGGAGAAGATTCTGCATGAAAGAATGGAAAAACATAGAAAACAAAATAGAATCTCTCGTATAGAAAAGTCGAGTTTTATTTTCAAAATTTATTTAAAAATATTTATTTTTAAAATCGAGAAATTAATGCGCCCGCCGTATATCATCTTGTGCCTTTCAACCATTTTGTGATCTTTTAAATCATTTGAATTATACTTATTATATTTTTTGATGTGTAATAACGATATAATTGAAATTCAACAACGCGAAATTTGTTATAATCCGTCAACGATGGATCTATTATTAGTCGAAATTATTTACAATCTCGATGAAAAGAAAAGAATCTGTCTTCAGGAATAAGAGATTAAACCATGATTGTCTATCTGTCGCAATTGCAATCTTCTTCCTACAACATCCAATGCGAAATACCCCTCCTCCCTCCCTTTTCTTCTTCCCTCTGTAGTCGATCGTACTTTTGCTAGCAGCAAGGAAAAAGGCACGTTAGCACGTGACTGGAATTCGTTTTACAAACTCTCTGCAACCGCGCATATAGAGTTCCCATTTTAGATGGTCGCATTGCACGACATAAAGTGGAATCCATTTCTCTGAGATAAACTACCCACGAGAAGTGTCGTAAGAGATATAACAAGAATAAACAGATAGAATAAGCTATAAGCATAGATAGAAGAAGAATGGAATACAGATAACAGTAATTAAAGTCATAATATGCGAAATATACAGGAATTAGGACGTTACTTACAAAATATTATTGTTGCTTACAAAGGTTATTATATCTGTTCGGTTTGTTATATAAAAAAATGAAATATTTAGCTAAAGCTTGATTGTAAACATTACACAGATGTTATAAAAAGATATATCTATTACTAATAAGAATTAGGATATTATATACAGAATATGTTTGTATTGTATTGTTTACAAAGAGTATATTTGTTATTAAAAAATCGAACGTTTAAGTAAATCTTAATAGATTTTCTCTAAAAAAATCTTAATAAATATTGTACAGATACTATAAAAAAATATATCTATTATCAACAATAACATTCCCTTTTCCTTGAAAAATAATATAAATATCACATGCTTAATGATATTTAAATACACAACTTTTTCCTGTTAAAAAAATAAGCTGACGCAAAAAATAATGTTCAATTATATTACTCTTTTCTTGAAAATAAATTAAATGCATATATCAGTATAGTAAAATAAAACACTCCTGGTCACACAAATATTCCTGTACCAATCTAACTAATGGTTCTGTCTCCATCGTATGTAATAAGCCATGAAACGCCGGAAAGAGTAATCAGCGCGATTACGTCGACGCGAGAGCGTTAACTCATTAACTCGAGACCAATCCTTTGGCGCGTCAGTTCGACGTTAACTACCTTCACCTCCACACGCTGGCCTATATGCAAATCCTTTTTCATGCGAGTGACGTGTATCAGTCCCTCCTTACCAACGCCCACATCAACGAACGATCCAAAATGCGTAACGTTCCGCACGACACCGCTCAATACGGTGCCGACGGTCAGATCCTCGATACGTCGCACACTGTTACGGAACAGCGGCTGACTCAACTTTGATCGTATATCCTCGTCCTTCTGCATGCTCAGGGCTTTAATTATCGTCTCCATCGTAGTCTCGTCGGTGCCGAACTGCGCGGCAAGTTTTCCATATCCGGTTCCCGCTTGAGAATTGATCCTTTCGATAAATGCCGGAGTACCAATATCATTTAACTTGCATTGGCAGTGTTTCACAAATTTATCCGCTATCGCATACGATTCCGGATGGATCCACGTTTGATCTAAAGGATTGAAGTCGCTCGTAGATTTCTTTTTTCGTTCTGACATGGTTTCGCTAACCGTTGCCGTTTCCGGCAGAATCCTTATGAATCCGGCGCATTGTTCATACGTTTTGCTACCGATGCCCTTCACATTTAATAACTCTTCTCTGTTTTTGAACGGTCCGTTTTTAGTTCGCCATTCTATGATGCTGGTAGATCTAGAACGCGTGAGACCGGCTACTTGTTGTAGAAGATAAAGAGAAGCGGTGTTGATATCGACTCCTACAAAACTCACAACCTCTGTAATAACCTGTAACAATTAACAAAAATCTCTGTGCTGAGCATTAAATCTCTCCAAAAAGCTGTTATCTAAGAAATTTTTGACAAATCTCCAATCGTAAGTTTTTTTTTTCTCATTAATAGTAAAGTAAAAATACGGTTAGGACTAATTGGAAAATCGAAAAATTAGAGAATCGAATATCTCTTTTTAAAATCGTATTTCTATCACAAGAAAAAAGATATTAATTCAAAAGATAGGAGTAGTGCAGAAATTATTTCACAGCACTTTTAGCGTTAAATAACGAATTCATACTAACTTCGGACAGCGTCTTCGTCAATTGCGCTTCGGGAAGATCGTGTTGGTACATGCCGACTCCTAAATGCTTCGGTTCTATCTTAACTAATTCCGCCAGCGGGTCCTGCAAGCGTCTCGCTATCGAAATAGCGGACACCAGGTTCGGATCGAGATCTGGGAATTCGGATTTCGCCTGCGGGCTACAACTATAAATCGAGGCGCCGCACTCGTCGACGATGGTGTACATCACGTTCGGTGTGTTGAACATCTCCGACTTTATTACCTTCGTTAGGAATAGCTCGGTTTCCCTGCACGCTGTCGCGTTTCCCAGAGCTATTATCGCGCATCCATATTTATTCACCAGTCTCGCCAGTGCATCCGCCGGGTCCTTAAATGGATTGTTATGGGGATATATCATAGCGGTCTCGAGAACGTTGCCTTGCTCCGAGACAACGGCGAGCTTGCATCCGTGACGGTAACCCGGGTCTATGCCCAGGACGATTTTACCTCGCACGGGAGGAGTGAGCAGCAGTTGCTTAACGTTAGTCGCGAAGACCTCTATAGACGCCTTCTCCGCGTTTTCCTTCGTCTCGCTCCTCACGCGACGTATCACCTGAGGCTTGATTAATTTCTTATACGCATGATCGATACTCTCGTTGAGTAAATCCCAGTGGATCATTTCCCGCTCCTGTTGACACGCGTATCGCGACAAGCAGCATTCCTTGAACGCGCGCTCGAAAGCGTCGGGGATCACGATCTTCACGCTAATAATCTTCTGCGACTCCGCGCGATTAATGGCCAGTATGTGATGTGGCTTAATGGCATTCACGCGCGACTTGAAATTAAAGTACTGTTCGTACTTCCGCCCGTTCACGTTCTTCGAATCTTCCGTCGTTTTACACTCCGCCGTATGTATCTCTATAATGGACGTTTTCCGGAGGGATGTCACCCTATCGAAGATTTGCTTGTCCTTGCTGATGAGGTCCGCTATTATGTGCACAATACCGCTCCTCACCTCCTGCTCGTTTCGCAAACCTTCTCTCTGTTCGTCCACTAGGAATATCAACGGTGCTATCTTCTGTCCCTGTAGAATGGCGTCGCTGACGCTTCCCAGTCCTAAAGCTCGTGCTTTCTCCGCAAGAAGTCGTCTCGATACCGAGGGTTTGTATAAGGAATAGATATGTTCGAGATCAGCGAGGGATTTTGTAGACGTGATGGTCGAGTGAAGCTCCGGTGACCATTTTCCCAATTTGTCGATGCTTTTAATGATCGTCGCAGCGCGATTTTTAATAATCTTCGCCTGCTCGAAGCTATCGAGTAGCGCTCTCAGCTGATCCGCTTCCATAGATCCAGTCATATTTTTTCTATACCTCGCAATAAAAGGTATCGTGTTGTCCTCCTTGAAAAGTTTCACCACGTTTTCCACAATACGCCTATCCACGTTGTTAATTTCGCTTATGTAGTCAACATCAGTCCATTCCGCGCATTGCGAAAAGCTGGAATTAAATTTTTCTTTGATCTTCAGATTTTCCTTTATATCAGTCTTGATTAAATCCTTTTGGTTTTGTGATTGTGATACTTTTGCATCTGTAAAATCAGTGGACGATGATGCTTTTAGCTTAGGTTTCTTGTTGCTAAATGTCTCCAAGCTTTTTTCTTGATTTTTTCTTTTGACAGACTTTCTTTTAACATCTTTGCTCTGCACATTTTTTCTAACTCTCCTTTTTATTGGCTCTTCTTTATCCACTGTAATTTTTTCTTTCTTTTCCTCTATCACGTAATCCTCGTCTTTTGGTTTTTTAGATATTTTATAAGTGTCGTCATCGGAATCTGATAATTCAATTATTGGTTGATTACACTTACTTCTTAAATTGCGTTTCATTGCAGCGTTTTCTGTTCTGTCAAACCAACAAATCAATTTCCTCATACATATATAAACAGACGAAATAGCTATCTCATTATTTTAATATTTTTTATATTTAAATTTACTTTATCTGTAAATATTGTTTTAATTATAATAACAATAAATATATAATCATATAACAATTATATCAATTAAAAATCTTAATACATTGCAGATGGATAATGGGAATTCACATTTTCCAACGCTTGATATTCATCAAGAAAACTCTCAATACATAATAAGAGAATAAAATATTTAGTCCCTGAGTAAGCAATAGATCTATAGTCTGTCAACAGATCTGTTAAAGATATTACAAAACTATTTGGAATAAATTCTGAATGGAATTGTTCAGTTATTCCTTAGATTTATATTATCTTTTTTAGGTAAAATAAAATAATTTCAATAACAATTCATATCATTCCAAACAGCTCTATAATACAACCTTACAATCTTAAAATCTTGCAATACGATAATGCAGATTCAGCATCATCCTCATTTGCATTAAGCTAGTGTTTGCTGACAGAATCTGCTGACAGAATCTAAGAGCAGTGTCGGCATAAATTAAGCAGAATATGTCATTTCATAAATGTTAAAAGAGTGTATATTATATAAATTGTTACAAAACAGTAAATTTTATTTGATTTCTAATCAATTTAATGTTATATTCTATTGGCAGATTCTGTTATACTTTTACTGGCATTCTATACAAAATTTATAAAATTTATAGATGCTTTGAAAAATCTGTTCTGACAGATTTGATCCGAGTAGCGAAATGACTGGTTTGCAATGTATTAATAAAAAATCAGTATAAGGATAAAAATATTTAAATTCTCTCATAAAATGATTCTATTAAAACTTTATTCTTCTTCTTATGTATTTCAAGTTATAAAATATTTTTCTGACACAAAATTTCTCTAACAGAGAATTCTCTTTGTTTTATGAGAGCAAACATCTTTGATATTTCACAAAAAAGATTAGATTAGATTATAATTAATTATTATTTAATTGTTGAACATATTACCTAAATAATTTAAACTAAAATTCGATGGAAATTTTCTGTGTTAATATCAAAATAAAGTTGCATCACTGACAGTCCTAACCTATCACAACGTGACTGGAAAATTGTAAATACTCTTCTGAGACATTTAAATTTTATTTTTGAGACAGTTGTGCCATCTAACGAGGCTACGTATAGTATACTTTTTGTCAGATAAAACGGAATGAATAAAAAAGTGATCTTGCTACTAGAATTTAGATAATTATAATGTAATATTAATTCTATGATTTATATTACTATTCTGATATTATTCAAATATGTACAATATATTTTTATTACTTATATATTAATAATATACTATATTAATTTAATTTTATTTAAAATTTATCTTATTATTACTATTGACAGAGGCTCAAAGCTTTTCTCTGCTATTGATTATCTATAACAATGATTACTGTAGAAAAAAATGTAATTTTACGTATGTATTTTTAGTAAATGACATTGTTGCGTTATAAATAGACATGTTTAAATGTTTATGAAGCATCTGAATAATAATAATGAATTTAATAATGCATTGTAAGTTAATTGCTCAAATATTCATATTGGTAAAGAATTTTTATCAATAGTCGATAATATCAATTTTCCAATTATCTCCTCTTTGATAATAACCATAAAAATGTGGGATTGACAATGTTTGTATCTCAAATTTTTCTCGTGTAACTTAAAAAATTTCAAATGTACTTTTGGAGAGAGAAGAAGATAATCGGAGAAAAAAATATCGAGCAATCAAACGCTCGAGAATCTCAATCGAATCGCTCGCGATCTCATGACGGTCGATATATCGAAACGATCGCAATGGCAATTCAGGATAATTCTATCTTGTCTTGTATCAAAAGAGAGAAGCCTGAGAGCGGACATGTCCGCGATTTAGCTGTAATTTTATTTTGAGCGCCTCAATCTCTATCCGTCCTTGTCTCACAAAATCGACGTAGACATTTAAAACGTAACGATTACAGCATTTAATGTTGAGTTATCAAAAAGAGCGTTGTAGAGCCTGGTATTAGTCAGATATTGTTCGTTGAATATTGTTGAATATTTCGTTTGACACACGTTGTAAATATCGCGATCTTCAAAACTGTTTACGTGCCGTGGTATGTGCGGCGCGCAGCGCGCGCCATGTTTACGGGCGCTCCACGTGTTATCATTCTTTATCCGGCCTTCGTACGAACGGGTAGCGACGCGTTTCCTCATAATCCTTCATTGTTAAATGATATCAAACCGTTGCCGTATCATATGAATATAATAGTAAATGCTTATCAACGATTGATTAACTATTCACAAACGTAACAATATTTTTTTAATAAGTATACGCGCATATGTCGCGCGACTTATTTCTTTGAAATTTATGACTTTTTGTAAATGATAACCCCTCCTCATGGGTACGGCCTTGATGTGACGGAGGGGCTGAGTATTCCGAGGGGTTTCGTACCCCAAAGACGAAGAAGCCAACGGTACCCATTGCACTATTATTATTAATTTAACAATATTACAAATAATATCTAACTTACACGAAATAGTTTTTAATGATCGAACATTAAATAATGTATAGATATTTCATTAGAGAGTATCATTAAATAACATTAAATAACGTGTGTATATATATTTCATTAAAGAGTATCGTTTCGCAATGCGTTTCGCAATATCGTTTCGTTATGCTTGTGAATCGACGACTATTGCGTGTGTTGTGAATATATTATTAATAACATTAATATGTTGAATAATATATAATATTAATGTTATTAATACTATACGCAATTGTCGTCGTTTTTTAATCAATATTCCACCGCTGATTTAAATGAGTGAATGAACTGTCAGATTAATGATTAACAAGCATATCGAAACGATACTCTCTAATGAAATATATATATATATATATATATATATATATATATATATA